TTTGATCTCCTGAGCTCAGATGATCCTTCCACCTCAGCCTTCCAAGGGATCTGGGACTACAGGGGTGCACCACTATGTCCTACTAGTTTTTTTTTTATTTTATTTTTTGTAGAGACCAGGTCTCACTGTGTTGTCCAGGTTGGTCTTGAACTCCTGACTCAAGCAATCCTCCCCTCCTCAGCCTCCCAAAATACTGGGATTATAGGCATGGGCTACCACACCTGACCAATAAATCTTAAATTTAATCAGTCTTCACAAGGCACTTTGGACTTGTGTTCCACTCCCAATTCTATAGCTAACAAGATGATGAAAAAATTGTGCTTTTCTCTCCTGTCTCAGTTTCCTTGTCTCTAATAAGAGGGGCGTAGTCAGAAGATCAAGAAGTTCTGTTTTGCCACTAAAATTTGTGTCTGCATACATCCATGCCATTCGTGTTTTCACTAAGGAATTGTCATTTCCACCATAATTTAATCACAAAGTGTTAGGAAATTGTTTATAACTTATAGCCTAACCTCTCCTTGTACCAGAAGAGGAAATTAACACTCACAGGAGCCAAGTGATATCGACAACACATAGTGTATCCCTGCAAAACCTGTCAAAAGCCCAAATCAAGACCCTAGTCGCCTTATCTTTTCAAATTTTTTTTAAAAATTATTTATTTGTACAATTTATTATTTATCATTCATCTAGGGATTTATCTTTGTTGGAAGGGGAGGAGGTGCTTTGAACAAAACCCCCCCTTTATTTCTATGGATTGTTTTTAAGAAATTGTCAAAAATATCATTACCTAGTTTTCTTTACATCTATTAAAGTGGACTTTTCATTAAAGTCCCTCATGTACAGTCCCCTGGGTGATCTTGATGTTCTGGTCCATTGCGATGAGTGTGCAAATTCAAATACCTCATCCTTTACGGATAAGCAACGATGAAAATAAGAAGATGATAGTTCAAATATACAAAGATTCAGAGTTGACGCTGAAGATGAGACTATCTAGAGACATCACCGATTTTTAAACTGCAGAACGTTTTATTTCATTGTCTCTTTCCCTGTGACCAACTTGATGTTTTTTAATGCTGAAAATATTTTCAGATCCTTTTGTACTTGTCTTCCGAACACTAATACATCTGTTTGGATGATTTTAATGCTAAAAAAAAACTTCATTCTGAGGTTGCAGGGTTTGTAGGAATAGTCAAGTAGTATTAATGTAGTTGGTTAAATTTGGGGATAGTAACATTTGTCTAATGTTGGAGGTGAGGGTGGCCGATCTTAAGATAGTTCAGAAGGTGGTCTTAACAGCATTTTTTAAAGCTTAGAAACTGAAATGTAAATAGAGGCCTAGATACTGCAAGAGCCTATCCATTCTCCTCTACAAATATACTTGCTGTATTCCTCATGCATGTGGCTGTCCCACCACTAAATTCCCATGTCATCCTACTTCCACTGATGAGCTTAGATGGTCATGGAATTTCAAGGAAGTCAGTGGTAGATGACTAGTCTAGCCTGGGCCAGGGCAGCAGAGTCTTGGCGCACAGAGAGGTGCTGAGCCCACTCTGCACGTGGTAGGGGCAGGTTAGAGAGGCAGATCTTAGAAAAGGGAATCTGTGAACTAGGTGTGTACCCCAAGTTGTGTCTACCATACCATAGTAAGATAAAATTCAGGTAAAGCTTGAAATGAGCTAGTTAGTACAAGTCTTTTTATGTTTGGGCCATATGAGGTTTCTAGAACAATTAAATGTTGTTTCATTATATTACATGCTAGTATTGTTATTCCATAGCTTAAAAAAGGATGTGTAATGGGAAAAACTGTCCTTAGAGTATACTTCAGTGATTGGTTTCTTTAAAGAAAGAATTAAAGACCAGGCACAGTGACTCAAGCTTGTAATCCCATCACTTTAGGAGGCTGAGGCAAGAGGATTGCCTGAGTCCAGGGGTTCGAGACCAGATCGGGCAATTTGGTGAAACCTCATCTCTACAATAAATCAAAAAATTAGCCGGGCATGGTGGTATGCACCTGTAGTTTCAGCTACTTGGAAGGCTAAGCTGGAAGGATGGCCTGAGCCCAGCAGGTCAAGGCTGTGGTGGCCATGAGTGTGCCACTGCATTCCAGCCTGGGCAACAGAGTGAGACTCTAACTCAAAAAAAAAGAAGTAATTTAAATTGTTTATTAATATTATTATTATTTTATAATTGACAAAAGTTTATGATATTTGGAGCATGAGTTGCTTAACCAAGTATTCAACAATTCAGCACACACTTCTTGAGCTCTTTGGGTCGGAAGCATTGCATGTATAAATCTAAAAGCAGTTACTTGTCTCAAATACTTGTCTCAGTCTTATCGGAGTCTGTGGTAAAGGTCAGACAGTTGCTGAAAGGTTGAGTGGTTCTGATAGCATTAATGTCCGTCTGTGTAACAGCAGATGTTTTGAAAATTCCCAATCTTTATCCTGATGAATTAACTTAGAAGTCATTTACCAATCTGTGTCCTACTTCCTGGCTTTTCCGCCTTCTATGTCACTGAATTATCAAGTTATGTGTATGTACACAAACATCTACTTAATATAAATAATTTGTACATTGATTGATTGATTGATTGATTGATTGATTGATTCCTGAGTCAGGGTCTTACTCTCATCCAGGCTGGAGTGCAGTGTCACGATCGCGTCTCACCACAGCCTCCAGCTTATCACAGCCTCAGCCTGCTGGGCTCAGGCAATCCTTCCACCTCAGCCTCCCGAGGAGTTGGAACTACAGACACACACCCCATGCCTGGCTCATTTTGTTTTTCTTTTGTGGAGATGAGGTCTCGCTGTGTTGCCCAGGCTGGTTTCAAACTCCTGAGATCAAGCAGTCCTTCCACCTCAACTTCTCAAAGTGCTGGGATTACAGGTGTGAGCCACTGTGCCCAGCTGTACTTTTATTTTGAAGATGGATTAATCAATATTCCTTACTGTGTATGAATTTTTATTCTCTAATAGGTAGTATTGATTATCTTAGCATCAGACATTTGACACAAACCCACTTATTTGATTTCACGTCCCTATACTAATTATAAAAAGGGGGAATAAACGGATTTAGTAATAAAGTTAGGACAAATTTACATAAGCAATACCTCAAAACATGCTTCAGAATTACAGATATGTGCAGATGTGCATAAAGATACGAAACACTGCCAGGAAATAAAATTCAAAAACAAAAATCTCTAAGTAACCAAACATTTGTATCCTTCCTTGGTTTAGCCTAATACTCATCCCTCAAGGCTAATTTGGTCCAGATAGAAGTATCAGAAGCCTCAGTAAACAGCATCTGAAACCTTCTCCCGGGCATCGGACATGCTTATTTTTCACATGGAAAGGTGAAGCCATTTATCTTTTGTCTTCCACACTGTCTGACATCCTAATGGGAGATTTAAGGGACGTGGTCACATTTTCCAGCAGTGACTGTGTGCTCATTCCTTGGCATGTAATATCTCATTTAATCTTTAGAGTAGGCCGGACTCAGTGGCTCAGCCTGTAGTCCCAGCACTTTGGGAGGCCGAGGCGAGTGGATTGCCTGAGCCCACAGTTCGAGACCAGCCCGGGCAACTTGTCGAGACCTCATCTCTACAAGAAATCAAAAAATTAACCAGGCGTGGTAGCGTGTGCCTGTAGTTATGGCTACTTGGAAGGCTGAGGTGGAAGGATCGCTGGAGCCCATCAGGTCCATGCTGGGATGACCATGAGCATGCCACTGCATTCCAGCCTGGGCGACAGAGTGAGACTCCAACTCAAAAAAAAAAAAAAAAGACTTTATAACAAAACCTGTTGAACACACGTGGAAACTGAGGCTCTGAAAATGTTGTTACTTGCCCAAGATAATCCACCTAATGTATAAAATTATACATATGTGAAATTCATCTATATGCATACTCTTTCTGTCATATGAACTTGAGATGAGAAATTTATCCAGGGAATAGGTATTATGTTTGAAATACGTGTAACATGCATCCAATGTTGTTACTGTCCTAAACGAAAATTAAATATAGGTATTCTTCATGGAAAGACGAAACTGGAGGACAGGATATGTAAGTTCTAGATTCAGCTTAGATCCAAACTACAAGCCTCAGTTTGCTTATTCCATTGATCCGATGTGTCCCCATCCCCCCTCACTCTCCAGACACGTGTCACTTTTATATGTTTTATCTTAATGAGATCACAAATAACAGATATAAGATATGGTAGAATTATAATATAAAAGAAATACTGCCCTAAATTAGTTATTTCTCCCCTTCTTGGAAACTAAGCTTCGAGAAAGTGAATGCCTCCCCCATCTCTTTCACGGACATATCCTCAGTGCTTAGACTCTCTGAAATGAAATATTGTCATAATCAGTATCTGTCAAGTGACAAAAGAAAGGAGAGGGTATAAACTGAGAAAGAAAAAAGGGCCACAAGACCCACACCGACATAGTTCTTCCTGTCTGTGCTGTCATTTTTTGTTTGTCTGTATCTTCCTCTGGGGACTGAGACCAGAATTGTCATCACAATGATGTCCCCATTCACTGAAACAGTGCCTCGTCCTGCCAGGTGACAGGCCCTCAGTAAATACAAATTGCCAGAATGTCTGAAACAAACGGTAGGGCTGTTTACTTCATTATCATTGCAAGTGGTTCACGTGGGAAGTACGTTTGAATCTCGGTGTTGGTTTCTTTGAAGACATTCACAAAACAATCACGGAGGATTCAGAGATTAAATCAGAGCAAATTATGGAAAATAAAGAGTTCAATAAATAAGCTAAATGTTTTCCTGTGTTTTTAGACTTTGAGGTATCCGGAATTTCTCGGATATGTGAAAGAATGAATGTATGCATGAACCAACAACCACCAAAAAAATCATATCCAAACTGTAGTGATTAAATAGATCCTAGCCCTCTGTTGGCTGGTAACTCTTAAGGCCTGAGCCAGGTGAGTTGTGTTCTGTGCCGTTAAACCAGAGCCTGCTCATTTTATGCTGTTTCCTTCTTTAGTCTGTGAATTTCTGGTACGTGCTGGTGATGAATAATGAACACACAGAGAGGCGTTACCTGCTGTTCTTCCTTCTGAGTTGGGGACTTCCAGCCTTTGTGGTGATTCTCCTCATAGTTATTCTGAGAGGGATCTATCAGGAGAGCATGCCCCAGGTCTACGGACTCCTTCATGGCGACCTGTAAGTACTCCCACGCCACATGTTGCCCTCTTAGCTTTCTTTTTTCTTACCTGAGCAGCTTGGTTAATAGACAGTGGAAGCAGTGGCCTAAGAGGCACGATGGAAGGGGCACCAGGAAGACCTTTGTTTTCCTGTCACGCTGTCTGAAGCTCTGTTTCCTCCAGTTATTCCTTTAAATAAGAAACTAGTGCCTCCTAAGTTCCTTTGATGATTCAATCCTCTCAAGGGAGTTCTTGTGTCAAACAGGTCGTGGTAATTTGTACCTCTGCATAAGTTAGTTTAGTAGATTGAGGCAAACAATAATGTTTAATGAAACCAGAGCACCGTGAAGATTTTGAGAAAGAATCAGTGAAGAATATTGGAGAGTGGCCCATTACTTAAGGAGGATGTGTTTTGGTGGGAGCAGGCCTGACAGGCCCCATCACCCCTAAGATGCCTGAATACCAAACGGAGGGTGAATGGCGGGTGTCTGCAACAGCGCACGGGAACAGGACAAGGTCACCTTGGTCCTTAGATATCCTTGTTAATACTCTTGTGATCTTGAAATCCATTGCTGATTATTGATTTGATCCTGAATCTGGTGTCTTGAGCTTTGAGGGCCACTCAACCCTTTTTTTACTTCTACATGTAGAGGGAAAAAAAGAAACCCTTTGTAATGATAAAGCTTAATTGGCTCCCTTGGTCTAATGACAATAATAGAAAAAGTAGAATTCTAAATAAGCAAGAATATTCAGTCTTATGAGAATAGTATCACCTGATTTGCTCACAGGTTACTGTGAAGTTAATAGACTTGAAAAAATTTTGAAAGTTACAGTACTGTATAAGGTGAAGTCATTTTAATAGAATTATTGCTTCTGATCAATTATGTACTTAATAAGTTCTTGTTATTGACAATATGCAAATATATTTCACAAACAGGCAATCATGGACACATACTTCACACCACATTAGGCTACAAGATACTAGCAGTGTCTCACACACACACTCAAACATGCAAACACAAACGCACACATCGATATAATATCTGTAGTCATTTAGTCTTTTTGTTGAGATTCAAGAAGATTCTCTCATACTGATTACAGCATAGTATTACAATGTATTTTATGCAAATACAATGCCGAAATCCTATAATCTACAGAGAAAGTATGCTCTCTTTCCAGAATTATATTGCGACTTTTCACATTTTACTACCCTTCACATTCATTTAAATTTTGGGCTGCCAGGATTGATTTATGAAAATTCTGCATCATTCTTTGTTAAATGCAAGCAACCATGAAGCAAGCCATGGTGACCAACAGACCATCCCTTTCGTAAGCTACCTGGCATGACAGCACTTACTTGGCAGCTGTTTTACCATTACACGTGGACCCATCCAACCTTGATCACTGGCACCAATAAAAGTAATGTTCTTTTGTTTTGTTTTGTTTGAGTTGGAGTCTCACTCTGTCGCCCAGACTGGAGTGCAGTGGCCGCTCCCAGCCACCGCAACCTCGACCTGCTGGGCTCCGGCAATCCTTCCGCCTCAGCCTTCCAAGTAGCCGGAACTACAGGCGCGCGCTACCACGCCCGGCTAAGTTTTTTGATTTATTGTAGAGATGAGGTCTCGCCTGCCCAGGCGGGTCTCGAACCCGCGGGCTCAGGCAATCCACTCACCTCAGCCTCCCAAAGGCACAGGATTACAGGCTGAGCCACCGAGCCCGGCTTAAAAGTAATGTTAATTAGAAGAAACTCTCTCGATGCTTCTAATTGGATTCTTAAAGGGAGAAATAAACTGTTATACAAGATTGTCCAAATGAACTTATTTTTAAAGTACTTGCCTTCTTAAGCTTTTGCAAAATATTTTCTGTGACCAACTAAATTATAATAAGTAAAATATAACATATATTACGTTCACTTATCCCTGGTTTTAATATTATGGAATTATTAGCCCAGAGTACCTAACCTTTGTTTTATAGGTTACTTTTCTCCTTAATTCACATAGAATATTCCTAAATCATTCTCATGTAAATTTATTCTTGTTTTTAAAAATTACGTATTTTTAGATGATTTTTTTAAATTATGAAGATGTGTACAATTCAAGGTTAGGTATACAGACATTGATTATGCAGGTACCCTTGTTGATGAGGTATGCCTCTCCCTCCCCTAGCAGTTTTCCTAACTGCCAATCCCACCTCCCCTCCCCTGACAGTTTCCCACTAATGCCAATCCCTTTCTTATAGTATTATAATTGTTCAAGATCCACTTATGAGTGAGAACATGTGATACTCTGTTATTTGTTTCTGTGATAGATCACTGAGTATGATCGACTCCAAATCCATCTAAGTTGCTGCAAAGTCCATATATTTGTCCTTCTTTATGGCTGCATAATATTCCATTGTGTATATGTACCACATTTTCTTTATCCAATTCAGCTTCAATGGGCAACACGGTTGGTTCCATGTTTTTGCTATTGTGAACAGAGCTGCAACAAACATGCGTGTACATTTTTAATATCACTTCAATCTCAATATGATAATATAAATTAGTGCATTGTTTATATTAAAACATTATATACCTATATCATTTTAAAACATGTCATTTCTCTAGAGATAATAGAATTTATGGTTGTGTGAAATAATAGTTCATCTGTTTGTACAGTGGTTACTTTATAGTTTTGATAAACTTCCTTGTAGCGTAGTTTTCTCTAAATAGCTCTCCAATGCATTACTACACGCAAATAATTCTTTTAAAAAATGTTTCTGGTCAAATTTCAGAACCAAGGTTATGCTGATTTCATTTAAAAAAGGAAGTTATTTCTCTCTTCCTGTTAACTGAGAACATTTGCAAGTTTAGTATTACTTCTTCCTTGGTATTTTGGAAACCTACATACACAAAGTCAACAAGGGCTAAGGTCTCTTTGCAGGAAGGCTTTTAATTACAGATTCATTCTCTTTAAATTATACTGAGATTCACTTCTTTGGCTCTACATTTACATATTGTAATATTGGCATATATTCCCTGCTCATTAAAAATTCTGTATTTCTTGAGTTCAGTCGTCTTACATGGTAATTGGTCAAGTGTATTGACATCTGTTCAGTGACTTTTCCCCTCCATGCCTTGTATCTACTTGTTTAATCAGCTACTGGGGAAGGTGTGCTTGTGGATTTCCCTATTACTTCCTTTTGCATTATATATTTTGAAGCTATCTTTTGAGGACATACAAATATAGAATTAATGTATTTTTCTTATGGTTTCACCCAGTTATCATAAAAGGGTTTTTTTTTTTTAATTTCTGGTCAGCTGGTCATGGTGGTGCACCCCTATAATCTCAGCACTTTGGGAGGCCAAGTCAAGAGAATCACTTGAGCCTAGGAGTTTGAGACCAGCCTGAGCAACATAGTGAGACCTCATCTCTACAAAAAAAAAGAACCAAAATTAGCTGGGCGTAGTGGTGCATGCCTGTAGTACCAGCTACTTGGAGGCAGGAAGATCACCTGAGCCCAGGAGGTCAAGGCAGCTGTGAGCCATGATCATGCCATACACTGCAGCCTGGGCAACAGAGTGAGACCCTAACTAAATGCAAAACAAAACAAAACACACACTCTGGTAATTCTTCTTGCCTTGAAGTCTATATTTTTCTAATATTAATATAGCTACACCAGCCTTCTTTTAGTTAATAATTATATGACATATTTGCCATCTCTGTACTTCCAGATTTTCCACTCATTTAAGTTGGGCTTCTTGTAAAGAGCATATAATTATAGTTTTCTTTTTTAATCCAGTCTGATTATCTTAGACTTTAATTGGAACACTGAGTTCATTTATACTTGAGTTAAATTACTAAATTGCTAATGTATTGGGATATAAATACAGCTTACCACTTGTGTTCTGTGTTCCTATTGTATATTTCATTTTTCTTTATTCTTCATTTGAGTGTATTTATGACTTACTTCATATTTTACACCTCAACATTTTTATTTAAATCAAAATGAAAGACTATTTTAAATAGGTGAAATGTGAAATAATTACAGGCAATATTAAAATAAAAGCAATAGTCATGTATTGAGAGCCTCTGTATATACAGGCTGTGTGCTACAGTTGACATTTATTTAAAATAATCTTCACAAAAACTATTCAACATGTTAGAGAACATCATTTCCATTATCAAGTAATAGATCAGGAAAGTAATATGAATAAAATATAAAGTATTAAGACTAGTATTCAAACATAGATCAGTCTGTATTCTTTCCACTGTATCTGGCACTCAGTACTTAATTCGAACAACATTAACTGAAAATCTATTAAGAATGTATAGGCATTAGGGAAGATAATGAAACAGCTATAAAAAGATGCATAAGAGTGCATTTCTAAGTCCACTTTCAAGTGTAAAAGGTCAGTATATTTACTACTGGCCTGTGTTTCCTTAGTATCTTGAACGTTCCACTCCTGTTACTGTTATATGGCTTACTTTTTAGTACTTTTGCTACATCCTGAACTATGATAGAAACTGAAAAGGCTTTTCTTGCCTCCTTTATTTCTCTTTATTGTCATGCATTTATCCTGCATGTATTTGAAATATCACATAACATTGTGATTGCTTTCTGTGTCATAAAATATTCATTTAGGTTTATGTTCTTTCATTCCTCTTTATTTTAACCAGTATTTCTTTATGTCTTTTTCTTTTTCTTTCTTTTATTTATTTATTTATTTTTGAGTTGGGTGTCATTCTGTTGTCCAGGCTGGAGTGCAGTGGTATTATTACAGCTCACCACAACCTCAACCTCCTGTAGGTGATCCTTCTGGCTCAGCCTCTCAAGTAGCTGGGACAATAGGCGCCACCAAACCCAGCTAATTTTTTTTATAGAGACAAGGTCCTATGTTGCCCAAGCTGGTCTCTAACTCCTGGGCTCAAGCAATCCTCCTGCCTTAGCCTCCCAAAGTGCTGGGATTACAGGTATAAGCTAT